TCTACCACCCAGGATGAGTTAGCGACAACTAAAGTCAAAAAGCTTGACTCCATCTCCATCCTGAGCTTTAAATATTTACTCTCTTCATTAATGGCACAAACCAGCAGTAGTACAAAGCGTATAAGATGCACAGCAGTAACTTGGCAAGGTTCAGCTGACAGCTGCTTCTAAACCATGTGGCCCCTACCACCTAGAAGGTCAATGGCACAGATACGTGGGAACACCACTTACAGGTTTCCCTCCAAGTCACGCTCTTGCTGACTTTTGGAAAAGAAAATTTAAGCTTATTTGCTATTATTGGTTCAGAACTTGGATCTCCCTAACTTTACTGAGTGTTCCTACATTACAGGGACTTCAGTTCAAGAAAGCAACTCACCACCATCTTTTTGAAGGCAATTTCGTTCGTCAGCAAATAGTCTTGACTGCAATGTTCTCAATGAATATAAAGAAAAATCCCCAGGAAATTTGGCCTAGAGGGCAATGTGGTACACTTAAACAGATCTAATTCTGTATGAACCAGTTTTGTGTATCTTACAAAGATTTAAATTGTACAAAGACAGTCCCTTGATAGGTTTGAATCTTCCAATTATTGTCTTCTCTAGGTCTAAATAATTGGTAATATGTTCAGCAGCTATGACTGTTAGGATTAGCTCACAGGCTTCACTTCTATTTTAAAATACTAACATTGCAAACTGAAATTCCTATCTAAAGCTTTTCAGAACATCATGTAAAAGGATAATTTATAAAGAAACAATGCAGAAACGAGAGCTGAAGAGCATGTGCTTTTACAAGATCTGTTTTATTTGAATCAAGCAATTCTTGGGTTGGTTGATAGGTGTACAAATGGGATGAAGTAGATATAAACAGACTATTTCCACCAAATGTATAAAATCCAGAGATACAAGATGAAATGAAATGTTTTGGAGCGCAGAAAATGTTTTTACAAGAAATTATCGGACTGGAATGCACTACTAGAGTTAATGCAGAAATTGTGTCAACAGTTATGATTGGTGTTTGAAGAAAAAGTATTAAATTTATGGGCACAAGGTGCATACATTGGATTTTTCTGCTTCAATGAAGGTTAAATGCCAGCAAGAACAGGTTGAGTTAAATAGCCTGCTTTCAGAATCCTCGTCGCTTTGGGTGGAAATGTAGGTAATTCCAGAGGATCTATGCAGCTGAAGGCACAGCTGGTATTTGCAAAGTTTACTGGAAGGGAGGAAGTCTGCACAAGACAACCCAAGTAAATGGAACAGAGTTCTTGTCAAAGAAGTTAGAGCTGTCTGCTGGTTAGTCATACCAAGAATGAAGGATGGCAACTGTGGTATTAAAGGCCAGTCATCTCAATTTCAGTACACTGATGCAAGAGTTTCTCAGAAAAGAAGTTAGAGATAGGGTCTTGTGAGGCTATGAAAGCATTTAAACTAAGGATTGAAACCTGAAACTTGGGGGAACCAATGTCAGTCAGTAAGGAAGAGAACTTTGGATAAGGGTACCTTTGTAATTATACAGCTGGCAGAATTTTAATTTAATTGTATTTTTGGGAGGCTAGGAAATGCACTAGGAGAACCATGTCTGCAAATGATGAAGTCGTGCAAAAGAAAATAAAGACAGAAAATGCCAGAGATAATCAGATCAGGTAGTATCTGTGGAGAGCAAAATGGAATTCCACTTTCAGGTAGCTGACCTTTTGTTCAACCATGTGAATGTTTCTCATTCCACAGATACTACCTGACCTGACTATTTCTAATGTTAATTTTATTTTGTCTCCAGAAATATTGTGTTCTCACATACATGTGTTTTGCTTGCAAACTGGCTGAGATAGGGGGACTGAGACGGTTCATGTCACTAAGATGAAAGTACCCATTTTTTATGATAGTAGATAGTGAGTCTAAAGATTAGTTCAGACTCGAAGCTTGCAACCTAGTAATCTTCTATCTGGTTCAGCTTTTGTGCCCAAGAAGGGATGAAGTCATTGGTGAGAGCAGAGATTTTGTAGTGAATGTCACATGCAATGTGACTTTGGTCCTCATCATTGCTTAGCTGGGAGATGTTGCTCAGATCTAGTATGCGAACGGTTTATTTTTCTAGATTATGTACATTCAAGATCAAAAATGAAGTAAATGACCAGTGCAGATCCATACTTCATATTTTACACAAATACTTTGAGAGCTGGCTCAATACTATACTTGAAGTTCAGGAAAATCAGAGCAATTCTGCAGCATTCATTTCTCAATATTTTATTTGCGTTATCATCATTGCATGTGGACTAAAGTTGTATGGTGGTGGCTACAGAACTGATGAGCCAGATATATTAAGTTTGAAATGGGCAGTTGATGAAATCCATTCTATTTCAATATTATTATAGAAAAATGTATAATGGTAATTTTGTAATTCTGAAGATGAAATACTTTTTTAAAAAACTGAAGTTATTTTTATTGCAATCACAATTTCTTCATTTGAGAGAGAAAAGAAAAAGGAGTATAAAAACATTAAAAATCTGAGCAGGAGTAGTCCAATTAGCCCATCTAGCCTACTCTGTCATTTAATACTGTAATGGCTAATCCTCAGTCTTAACTACACTTTCCTACCCATTCCAAAATCAAGAGACCTAAATCAGTCAGTTTTGACTATCGGTATATACGAACAGCATGTACTATCTTCTGAGTAGAGTATTCCGAAGTGTGTCAAAGCCTTGAGTGAAGAGATTTCTCCTCTCAGTCCTAAGTGGTTGACTCTTGTCCTATGGCTGTGTCCCCATGTTTTAGATGCTCCAATCATGGAAACAATCTGTCAATGCCTACATTGTCAACTCTAAACTTTTCCTCAGCATTGGGAAGTTGCATTAGATACAAAAAGCAATTGGGAAGCTTAAATATCTCTAGGATATTTCAAAATAAAAGGAGACAAAAAAGCTGGTAGCTTTTGGGCCAATAGCTTAATGTCTGTTATTGGGGAAAATGTTAGTCTGTTGTAAAAGATGTAACGGCAGAGCGTTTAGAATACGTAATATGGTGTTTGAGGTAGTATATTAGCATGGATAAAGGGTTAGATAACGGATAGAAGACAGTGTTGGGATAAGGTGGGCAATTTCAGGATGCCGACCTGTAACTAGTGGAGTGCCGTAGGTATCAGTGCTGGATCAACCACCACCGCTCAATACCAGCTGTGTGTACAATGTACAAAATGCACTGCAGAAATTCACCAAAGATCCTCAGACAGCACCTTCCATAGCTACAACCACTTCTACCTAGAAGGACAAGGGTAGAAGATATATGGAACCATCACCTTCCAGTTCCCCTCCAAGCTGCTCACTGTCATGTCTTGGAAATATATCGCTGTTCCTTCACTGTCACTGGGTCAAAATCCTGGAATTCCCTTCTTAATGGCATTGTGGGTCAACCCACAGCAGGTGGACTACAACAGTTCAAGAAGGCAGCTCACCATCATCTTCTCAGAGGCAACTAGGGACAGGCAATAAATACTGGCCAGCCAGTGACGCCCACATCCCACAAATGATTTTTTTTTTTAAAAATTACAATATATATTGGTGACTTGGGTGAGGGGAGTGAATCTACCATAATCAAGTTTACAGATGATACAAAATAGATAGAAAGGCAGGTGGTGAGGCGCAGAGTCTGCTGAGGGACTTAGGCAGGTTAAGTCAGTGGGCAAAATAATTAAAAATAACATGGGAGATAATGCATTTTTAGCAGGAAGAATAGAGGAACTGAATATTATTTAAATGGAAAATGACTGCAGACAGCTACAGTCCAGAGGGATTTCAGAATCCTCATGCATAAATCACAAAAAGCTAGCATCAATGTTCAGGAGGTAATAGGAAGGCAAATGGATAATGGCCTTTATTTCAAAGGGAATGGAATGTAAAAATAGGGAGGATTTGTTTAAAAACAACATAAGGCACTAATCAGATCACAACTGGAATAATGTGAACAGTTTTGAGCCCTTTATTCAAGGGAAGATATACTAGCTTTGAAGGTTGTTCAGAGAAGGTTCACGAGGTTGATTTTGGATACAAGAGGACTAGTTTATGAGGAGATTGTGTAAGTTGGGTGTGTAGTCATTGGAATGTAGAATAAGAGGCAACCTTGTTGAAGCATGCAAGTTTCTTAGGGGACTTGGCAGGGTACGTGTGGCAAGGTTGTTTCATCTTACAAGAGAGTCTAGGACCAGAAGAGAGAATCTCAAAGTAAGGGGTCATCCATTTAAGACTACTCGGTGGGTAGTGAATATGTGCAGAGGGTCGTACAGGGTGCGTTGTTATTATATATTCAATGCTAAAATAGACACTCTTAAGAAATCCAGGAATAGATAAATAGATAAGGAGTTGAGGATTATCAGATGAGCCATGATCTCGTTGAATTATGGTGTCAATTTGTTGTGCTGAATGGCCTGCTTCTTCTATGCCTTATGGTCTTGCGTTGCCTCTTAAACCACAGTCAGACTTAAGTGCATTCCCACTTTAACGTCTCTGATTTCAGTCCCTTTGTTTGATATCCATGGTGCAGCATTCCCTTGAATCCAATGGGCTTTCACTTTTACGAACTAGTATTACTCTTCTTTGTAACTTCCTATTGTAAATCTGTGTACACAACAACTGTTCTGCCTTCGTGAACTACTTCATCGTTCCAAAGTGCTGTATCAGGTTGGTTGAGCACTTTTTGCCTTTAAAGATACCTGTTGACTTTCATTTGTTAGCCCATACTTTTCCAAAATAAAGTTATTTATATACTTAGAAACAAGTGCAAGTTTCTGTGTGAACCAAATACGAACAATATGCAGATTTTTGAAGTGCTATGACGAAAAGATATGAAATCTTCAAACTGGTGCGAGGTATACTGCGATTATTGTTTTCCATGCATCTGTTTTAAGAAAGGGTAACTGATGGGTAGAAGACAAATTTTACAGCACAAGTGCTTTCCTGACATGAAACAAAACATTTGTGAATTCTTTAATAGTTTACTATTTGTTTTTTCTAGGTCATTCATCACTTTTCCCTGTTGAAGATGGGTTCCTTGATGATGGACGCGGTGATCAAACTCTTCATAGTGGCCTAAGTTCTCCTCATTGTTTTCCTCATCAAAATGGTGAACGAGTGGAGCGATATTCCCGTAAAGTGTTTGTTGGTGGCTTGCCACCTGATATTGATGAAGGTAGTGCTGCATTTTCGCAAGAATAGTTTGTTTCAAAATATGAATAAATATTTTGTATATTTTATGACAATTTAATATTAGGACAAACCACATAATTTTTTTAAAAATTGAAAGGAAAAGTCCATATTTCCCTTAGTTGTGTTATATTTAATACTGAAGCAAGGGGGTCAATGTGCATGCATGCCAAGATTAAGTAGTGATCTCGGTCAAGAAATGAGTCTGCTTTTACTTTTTTTTTCCATATTCACAGATGTAGAATATATTTTTTACGTCCCCTGTAGAATAACAATCCACGTAGTTAGGAGAGACTGAGCATATTTTTGTTCAAACAGATGAAATCACAGCTAGCTTTCGTCGTTTTGGTTCGCTGGTTGTTGACTGGCCTCATAAAGCAGAAAGCAAGTCATACTTTCCACCAAAAGGTAAGTCAAATTAGATCTGACACCTGACTTTTTGTGTAATGCTATGATTGAGAGAGAGAAGTCACATTTGAACAAAGCTGTCTTAATCTTCATTGTCTTTACAAATGCTCTGTTGATCTTTGTTTTAACCTTGTTGCATGTAATGAAAGGAAATGATTATCAAAGTAAGGCATTTACCTTAAAAAATCAGATACTTGAATCAATTCTAAAGCCTCTAAACTTTGCAAAACTAACATGACTAACTAAGGTGACAGTCAGAACTATCACAACATCTTGGTGTAGGTCAGTAGTTTCAACTCGGAATAATTATGAAATATTATTTGCAATCTCTGAATGTGGTAGGCTTTTTTTTTGGGTGTGTTACATGTGCTGACTCAAAGATTAAAAGTGAGAATGGGCACTTGATTGAGGTGCAGGTTGACGGAATAATATATTGGTCATGTGGGTTAATTGACATTAGAGGACATTAAATGCAATTCCATTTATCCAGATAGGCAGGTGGAGGAAAGAAAGCTACTTATCGGTGTACAATATAAGGACCGTTACACCAGTTTAATTAAAGTGGAGTTTCAGACAGAGCCTTGGAAGGGTGTGCCATCATGCTACAATCTTGGATAGATCCAAAGAGTTGGAAGGAGGAAATAACATCAGTAATTTCTTGTGTGTAAAACTGATGTAGGATATGTTTCTCCACCTGCTCTGTGCATAAGATCAGGACTCAGCTAAATTCATTTTTTAAATATGGCAGCCACTTAAATAAACGTCAGATCCCTTGTAACTGATAATGTTTGCCTCATGTCTGTTTTGGATTTCTGTTCCTCCTGTTTTTCTGTGTGGATGCAGCCTACTAACTGGCTGCTAACTAAAAGAAATTTGCATTTCTTTCAAATTCAGTTAATATGCTCTTGATTACATCTGTGTTCCTCCCAGCTCCATGACACACTTGAAGGCTATTCTTTTGATTGTCAAAGCAGTAAGATTGCCTAATTTCCCTTTAATTAGCATTCTAGGGTCACTAGTGTTCTAAAACTTAAGTAGACTAGATAAATGCTATGGCTACATCTTAAACATTTATCCATTGATTTGTTCCATCATCGGCACAACATGGTTCAGCATGTGCCATCATCAAAATGTATTACAACGACCAGCTTGGTGACCAACACAGACGATAGGCTGAGGGTTTCTCTGCATGCAGTTAAACTCTATAACTCTAAGAACACCTTCAATCAGTATTCCCAATCTGCAATGTCTGTCAGGTACATGGACGAGGACAGTAAGCACATGGGAATACACCACTTCCAATTTCTCCTCAAGCTATCCTGACTTGGAAATACATCATTCTGTTCCATCTTTATTTTTATAAAATTTCAATTCACAAACAATATTTTAATTTAGTGACCATCTTCCATGATATTTTGAAAGATGCGCTTTGATGTCAAAACTTCCATCACTTATCACTTGTGTGGTTTAAAATAATCTGAAGTGTCTTGGTCATCTTGTTGGCCTTCAAGAAAACTGACTACAAAACTAAATTTGAAGATTTTCCCCAACTGCAATGTGCAATAATGGGATCAAGGAGGCTTGGAGAAAAAAGTTGATACAATTTTTTCAAAGAAAACATAGGATAAAGTATTTCCTAATTGATAAAACACTACAACAAAATTTAAAACTTAACAGTTAAAATATAGAATAAGGAAGAAAACATGGTCAAGGAAAGCTGTTGGGTAGCTTCATGGTGTAGATAAGTGTTAATGCCATGATGTTCTAATGCAATTCTCAAAATAGTTTTCGTTGCATAATAGTATTTTGTTCCAGTGATAATCTTTCCAAAATTATATACAACAAGATGATAACCCTACCAGCAACCTCCGATCTAGTCTGTGATGACTGAAGGTCCGGTTTTCAGATCCCTGTGTCGTTTTGTGGGATATCTCTTTAGTAGCTTACTAGAATTACTACAGAACTTTAACTTTATCAAGATGTAACAACATTGTATATGAGTCCTAATTAAAGAGGTGAAAATTGTCCCATTTGGTACTTGTGATTCCAAAATTGTATGTTCGATTATTTATAAAAGGTAAAATACTAGCTAGATGAATAGCAAAAGTAGTTAACCTTAATAAATCACTACTACTTCTTATTTTGTAGGCTATGCATTTCTGCTGTTTCAGGAGGAAGGTTCTGTGCAGGCTTTAATTGATGCTTGCATTGAAGAGGACGCAAAGCTATACCTCTGTGTATCAAGTCCAACCATCAAGGATAAACCAGTGAGTAGATCTCATCGAACTCAATGAGAACAAAAGTACATTAGTCTCATCTTAAATTAAGAATGGATTATATTTGAATTTTAAGTTTAATTGTAAATGTAAGTATTTTTAAACATACAGGTTCAAATACGACCATGGAATCTCAACGATAGTGATTTTGTAATGGATGGTTCGCAGCCACTGGATCCACGGAAAACTATTTTTGTAGGTGGTGTCCCCAGGCCTCTGAGAGCTGGTAAGCCAATAAGAGCAATGAAATACTCCCATTATATAAAATGTCATTTTTTTTTTGTTTGGAATTATTCCATCTCCTGTGGCATTCCATATGTAGAATTTACTTAAGAGGTTGACGGGTAATTGGACCAAGATACAGAGAGACTTATTTATTCTCATTTTAATGAGATGGATATAATTACATCATAAAACCCAAAAGAAATGTGGATGGTGGAAATCAGAAACAAAAACAGAAATTGCTGGAAGAGTTCAACAGGGCTGGTAGCATCTGTGGAGAGAAATCCGATTTATGTTTCAGGTCCAATGACCTTTGTTCAGAACTGATGAAAAACTGGGCCTGAAATGTTAACTCTGATTTCTCTCCACAGATGCTGCCAGACTGCTGAGCTTTTCCAGCAATTTCTATAATTACTTCATGTCTTGTTTACAGAAGCAGTTTTGGTTGTTAATATGAACAGAATTAAATCTGAAAACTTTGAGATCAAAAGCCAGCAGACATTGGACTTTAATACTAAAAAGACAAAATGAGTACACAAAATGCAAAATAATTTTATTCAACCTGATTTGCGCATTTTAGCTCTGAGCTCGTTTCAGTTCTTAGTGTTCCCTCAATCTCTTAACCACTCTCAGCTCCAAAGAAATATTTTAGAAGTTTGTCATGTGGCTGCTTTGCAAGATAGAGTTAGCGTGATGGCAGTGAATACAGTTTATAAAAATTGTGGATAGAATTTTGCTGCATTCTTTCAGAAAACAAAGATGTCATTTTCTTTGTATTTTGTAACTTGAGGAAAATTGCAGAATGAGTATTTCCAGAGGAAACACAATAAGTTATCAAATCTCATGACACAACTTCAATTATCCTTTAACATTTCCAAGAAACTAATGAAACATTTAATTATATGCATAGAAATGTTTGTTAACCTAGCTGTGGAATGTGCAACTTGAAATTAAAATGGCTTAATGTACTTTAGAAAAAGTCCAACTTAGCAGATAAAATCTTGAGTGTGAAACTTTGTTCTGGATAAATGTGAGCACATTTTGAAGTGATAGAACAGTCCCCAGATATGTAAAGAAAGGAATCAGCATCATCACTGTATTTCTGGATGTTGTTTCAGAATTGTTGATGCAGTTAGACTATGACTGAATTGAGGAGAAATTCCTTCACTAGTAAAAGAGTGAATATTTTGGAATTTTGTACCCTAGTGGGCTGTGGAATCTCAGTCATTGAATATGTTCAAGACAGAGATGCATAGAATTCTAGACACTGATGAAATTGGGGATATGGGGATAGTGCAGGAAAATGGCATTGAAGTCAGTGATTGGCCATGGTCTAGATTTGTGTAGCAGGCTGAAGGGCTGAATACCCTGCTTCAATGTTCCTAAGGAGGTAGAAGTGAAAAAATTAAAAGTTGTGCAATGTATGATGGAAGGTGAATTGATTACCAGAAGAAATTTCTATGGATCCCCAAGTATCATAGACACAATTTTCTGGGGCCAGAGACCATTCAGTATACTGGGTCTTTCAGTAGGGAGGAAACTTAAATGAGATGGTCACATAGCAAAGCTCTTTGACCGGAATGTCAAGAAATCTTTGGAATAGTAGTAAAAATGTCTTATCATAATCCTTGATATGTGCTTCACTTTAAAATCATCCAGTGGGAAACAATGCTTGTTACAGACTGACTTCTGTGAATTTTACTTGCTATTTAACAATGGATGCCTTGCCACATCTGTTCATCTATTTAAATAACTGGAAAATTGAGCTTAGCTTTGCTGTAGTGGTGAAAGTGCTGTAGTGTGCACCTTGTAGACAAAAATCTGGTAGGAGCAGACAGTTGGAAAATTGACCCTGGAGTTTCTTATCTCAAGTTCTAAAACCAAGTTCTACTATATAATTGCTACATTGGAAATAAGTGATAGGAATCAGAAATCGTGATAACAAAAGGATTGAACAGCAGCTTGCATTTAAAATAGGAAAACATATGTTGAGGTGTTTTACAGAGGATAATTCAGCAGCAAAAGTACTATAAGGGCAGTGAACTAGTTATCAACAGAGGTGATTAAAAGCTTGATCAAAAAAATGGATTTTGAGGTTTTATTGAGAGGTGGAGAGATTTTGGGAAGAAATTCTAGAGCTTGAGTCTTGGTATATCTTCTTCAATCAAAGGCATAAGCACCAATAGTGAAGGAGAAGTGAACAGGGAAATCACGAGTCACAGAAAGGAATTTTTCCTTTGATTCAGGTGTAGAATTGTTAATTGCACTTGAAGTGCTGGTGAGGTGCCTCCTTGATTTTACTGCAGTCCATTTGGTGTAGGTACATCCACAATGCTCGTAGGGGTGGTGTCCCAGGATTTTGACCTAACAACAGTGTAGGAACAGTGATATACTTCCATGTCAGGATGGTAAGGAGCTTGGCAAAGAACTTGCAGTTGGTAACGTCCTCATGTATCTGCTGCTCTTGTCCTTTGAAATGGCACTGGTCATTGGTTTAGAAGGTGCTGTCTCAGGATCCTTAGTGAATTTTAGCAGTGCCATCTTGTATGTGATATACATTGCTGCTGTTGCGTGTTGGTGGTGAAGGGAGTGACTGGCACCATGTCCACAAACAGGCAGGTGATCTGATTGGTGCTGAATGGTGTCAGCTTCTTGAGTGTTGTTGGAGTAGTACTCCTCTAAGCAAGATGGAGAATGAACTGAAAATGCTGGACAAACTAAACAGGTTGGAACGGGTTTTGAAGTCATGCTGGACTGAAGGTTAACTCTGTTTCCACAGATGCTGCCAGATCTCCTCAGTTTTTCTAACATTTTCTGTATTTTTTCAGATTTATAGTATCTTCTGTAGTTTGTGTTTATTGCGCAAGCATGAGCATCCTATCAATCCTGACATGTCTTGTAAATAGTTAACATAGAAGATAGGAGCAGGAGGAGGCCATTCAGTCCTTTGCGCCTGCTCTGCCATTCTTCACGATCGTGGCTGATCATCCAACTCAATAGCTTAATCCTGCTTTCTCCCAATAACATTTGATCCTAGTCGCCCCTTGAATGCATTCAATGTTTTGGCATCAACTACTTCTTGTGGTAATGAATTCCACAGGCTCACCACTCTTTGGGTGAAGAAATGTTTCCTCATCTCCATCTTAAGTCGACTACCCCAAATCCTCAAACTGTGACCCCTGGTTCTGGACCATTGGGAACATCCTCCCTGCATCTACCCTGTCCAGTCCTGCTAGAATTTTATAAGTCTGTATGAGATGCCCCCTCATTCGTCTGAACTTCAGCGAAAACAATCCCAACCTAGTCAGACCTGCCATATCCGGAATCAGCCTGGTAAACCCTTGCTGCACTCCCTCGAAAGCAAGGGCATCCTTTCACAGAAAAGGACACCAAAACTGTACACAGTATTCCAGGGGTGGTCTCACCAAGACCCTGTACAACTGTAACAACACATCCCTGCTCCTGTACTCGCAACCTCTCGCAGTGAAGGCCAACATACCGTTTGCCTTCTTTACCACCTGCTGCACCTGCACGCTTACCTTCAGCGACTGGTGCACAAGGACACCCAGGTCCTGTTGCCCATTCCTTTCTCCCAATTTACAGCCATTCAGCTAGTAATCTGCCTTCATGTTTTGCTTCTGAAGTGAATAACCTCACATTTATCCAAATTATACCACATGTGCCATTGATTTGCCCCCTCACCCAACCTGTCGATCATGCTGAAGGATATCTGCATCCTTGTCACAGTTCATCCTCCACCCAACATGGTATCATCTGCAAACTTGGAGATCTTGCATTTTGTTTCCTGATCAAAATCATTATATATTGTGAATAGCTGAGGTCCTAGCACTGATCCCCGTGGCACCCCACTAGTTACTGCCTGCCAATTTGAAAAGGATAATTCCTGCTCTTTTTGTTTCCTTTCTGCCAACCAGTTTCCTATTCATCTCCGTACACTTCTCCCAATCGCGTGTGCTTTAATCTTACACATTAATTTCTTATGTGGGACTTTGTCAAACACCTTCTGAAAGTCCAAATATTCTACATCAACTGGCTCCCCTTTGTCAACTCTACAAGTTACTACTTCATAGAATTCCAACAGATTTGTCAAGCATGATTTCCCCTTCATAATTCAGTGCTGACTCGCTGATCCTGCCACTGCTTTCTAAATGCACTGTTATAAAATCCTTGACAATGGATTTGAGAATATTCCCCAAATACTGATGTTAGGCTCACTGGTCTATAATTCCCTGTTTTCTCTCTACCTCCCTTTTTGAATAATGGAGTGACATTAGCCAACCTCCAATCTGCAGGGATCGTTCCAGAATCTATAGAATCCTGGGAGATGACCACCAATGCATCCACTATCTCTAGAGCTACTTGCTTAAGTACGCTGGGATGTAGATTATCAAGCTGTGGAGATTTATTGCCCTTCAATCCCAACAATTTTCCTAGCACCATTTCTCCACTAATATTGATCTCCAACTCTAACTGGCTTTGGGGAGACAGGACATGAGTTACTTGCTGTAGGATCTTTAGCCTTTTGAATTGGTGTTGTAGCACAGTAGTTATAAGGCTAGCCCAGTATTGTTTCCGGTCAGTGATAACCCCAGGATGTTGATGTTGGCGTGTTCAGAAATTGCAATACAATACGAGTTCTGGTTTAGATTTTTTTCTTGTTGGAGATGCCATTGCCTAAACACTTGTACGGTACGAATGTTGCTTGCTGCTTGGACCATGAGATATAGAAGCAAAATTAGATCGTTCAGACTATTGAGTCTGCTCTGTCATTTGATCATGCCTGGTATGTTTCTCAACCCCACTCTTCTGCCTTCTCCCTTAACCTTTGATCCCCTTACTAAGCAAGAACCTATCTATCTCTGTCTTAAATACACACAATGATTTGGGCTGTCAGCCTTCTGCAGCAATGACTTCCACAGATTTACCATCCTCTGGCTGAAGAAATTCCTCCACCTCTTTTCTAAAGGATCGTCCCTCCACTCT